ACCAGAAACACATTCACAGCCAGCCGGCAAAAAGCCAGCTAACCAGGCCAGATGACAATTGTGAACGTTTGGGGCTGTACATGTATGTGTATCTGTGTGTGTGTGTGTGTGTGTGACATTAATGACGCATGCCATCAAAGTCAGTCGAAATGGAATGGAGTTGGATGAGCGTAGCAGCCAGACAGAGGCTTTCAGTCTCTTTCAGCCTGTTGCTAAAATCATGTATTTTTTTTCCGCGCAATGCACCGCATCAATCTCAACAACATCAGCTAGCCCTAGCCGGGGTGCCATGGGGGACCATGTTGATGAGAGGCGTGTTGGAGCACTGCGGTACGCGTATTAATATCGCATCAATTATAATTTTCAGTTGGCAGTCAGCCTAGTTGACAGCCAAATGCGTTTTATCTGCAATTTTTGGCCCAACATTCACGTGTAACAAATTTGCAATGGCAATTTGACCAACATTGTTATTTAATTTCAGTTGTACCAAATGCGCCGAAAAAATCATCGTTGTGGTAGTTGTTTGCCATTTTTTGTGTTATTGATTTATCATTATGGCCACGTTTTGGTTTGACATTTGTGTTTAGGATGTGAAATGTTATTGACAGTTTTGGCTAATGATTGTTTGTCAACCGAATGCCATTTTGCTGTTGGCCTCATCCGGATAATTGTTTGCAACTGTGATTGAAGACCAGTCATTGTTTATTCCCTTAAAATCAGCATCATTACCAATTGATTTTACCACAAAAAGCGTCAAATTCAATTTACTGATATGTTCTTTATAGAAATAATAATAATATTATTATATAATTACTCAACTGTTATAATTACTCAACTCAAGCTATTATTTGTGTGTCTTCAAATTTTATGCTTTAAAATTTTATACTTTAAAATTTTGAATTTTTGTTGGTCTCTACTATAATGAATGATATAATTATAATTATGGCTAATAAATATATATTGTAACTTTATTAAAAATAACAATATTTTATAAAAATTAAACCATATTTAGTTAGATATATTTTTTTTTTATAAATTCAATTAAATATAATTTATAAATTAATAAATTATGTAATTATAAATATAAATATTGTAACTTTATTTTTTTTAAATTATCAAAATTAAATCATATTTTTTAGAAATTTATTTAATTAAAAATAATAAAAATATACTGAAACTTTATTAAAAATAAAAAATATTTTTTATAAATTCAATGAAATATAATTGAGGATTTTTTTTTTTTAAATATAATAATTAGTTATAATTTAAATTTAAATAGCAATATAAACTTTTATGTAGTTATTTCAAAGTGAAAATGTTTAAGTGTGCTCATTATTTATGATAAAATGCATTTGCTTATGCATAACATAATCTGATATGTAAAGACGCTTTATTAACTTATAGCTTTAGCTTTCGCTTATAATATATTCACTTCTGTTTTATAGCTCTACAATGAGTTAAAAGAAATCCTTGCCGCTGAACATATTTATTAAATTTAGACAAGATCTTCTGATGCCAGTTGCAAAACTCAAATGTTCTTTGTTTTCCCTTGAGCCATTTGGCATGGCTTTACTTAATAATTTATACATCTAGAAATGTCGTTCACACCAATGCTATGTAAATTTGTTTGCCACTTCACTCTTTTCTGTCGTTAGTCAACCAACGGCAGCATCTCTTTCTATTCCTCTCTTGGTCTGCCTCATGCCTTTCCTCCGCCTCCTTCACTCTGATTTAAATGCTAAAGTGCACGATTATCATTTCGATTTTGTATAAATAGGTCATGAATTATTCATGGGCACTTACTTATGCGCCATCAAAGCGACTTAGACGTTTCCATTTCCATATCCATCTGGTGCCCACAGAAGTCGACATATGGCAATATGATGAAGTTGGCTTATTGACTTTAAGCCATCGATGAAAATACTAAGTTGCGGCTGGCAACTACAAGTTGCGTACAAGTTGGTTGTGTTCGATCGTTTAGCTTGATAAAGTCAACTTCGCAAATTAAAGTAATTTCCTGCTGCAGAAGTTTTCTCACAACTTCTGACAATTGTTATTGTTGCACAATAATATATATGTCTATATAGAAACATGTTTAGTAAAAGTATATATGTATATATATGGAGTGAGATAAACACAAATTACTGTCGATTTCATTTCACGCCTTGAGCAATGAAACTTTCCCATGCCAAGGAAAATCGTCGACCATTGTCAAAAGCTGCGGCGTGTTGTCCTAACGTCCTAACGTCCTGGTATCCTGTTATCCTGCTATCCCGCCTTCCTGGCAGTCTGTTGTCCTAGCATCATTCTCAATGTCTGCCGCTGTCTGAAATTCGATAAGGAAGCAGATAGACACTCAGCAAGGCAGCGCTGCGAAACCTGGAAGCAATTTGCGCATAAACGTTCAGCACGATAAAATTTGCAGTTTTGTTTATTTTTCTGACAGACGCCGAGGGAAACGGCAGCATCCAATGAAAAGCTTGCGGAATACTCGGCGCTTTTCATCCGCTATGCGAACTTTTGATTCGAATTAAATTTACGATTTGTTCCTCTGGTTGTTTGCGTCTGCTTAAAGCAATTGTCATGCACGTTTCAGTTAACAGCGATGGCAACAGAAATAAAATAAAAACAAGATTGTATGTGAATTATCAGCAGACAAATTGAATTTATTATATAAAATGGTTAAGAATATTACATAAACATCCTTCAAAAAATATGCTTGAACATGCAACAACTACATATTTGCTATGATTTACTACATATTTGCTATGATTTGAACATTTGTTATGAAAGTGGATTAAAAAATATTGTCAGTAACATAAATATTTTTAATAGTTTAACTAATAGAAAATAATATTTCACTGAAATTTAGTCAAAGAAAGACAAATAAAGAATTAATATTAACAGAGGTAATTAAAATGAAATTTATATATCAATTTGATCAAATATTGAAAAGAATAAACCTTTTATTAATTTATTAATTTTTTTTTTAAATATACATATAAATATTTTGTGTATATTATATATTTAAAAAATAATTTTTAGGCCCAGGGTGGGCGCTTCTTTAATAATCATATAAAACGGATTTCTAATTAATGTTTATATAAATCTATAATAAGAAATATTTTAGTATTAACCAACACAATGATTTTATTTTAATATTACTATAATATAAAATATTCTTACCAGTAAACTTGTATACAAAATTTAAATAAAATTAAAAAGCAAGACGCAATAAAATATATATGTTATTAATACAATTATATTTTTAATTAGGAAGTAAACCTCAAGTATTCAAGTAAACTATTCTAACCTGACCTTACCAGCAACATTATCTTACGCTCGCTAAGCTCCACACCTATAGCATACCTTTTAAGGTTCTCAAAATACCTTTATGAATTGAATTAGTTTAATTTCAATATCATCTATCATCTATACTAATTTGATAAATTTGCAAACTGCTCTCCCAACCATTAAATAGCTCATGCATATTGCACAAAAGAAGCGATAATCTATAATTATGACACAGTGTGAGCTGCAGCCGCAGCCGCATTTCATTTCCTTACCATTACCACAACGCAGACTTGTTGCCGCATGCCACTTGGCACTTGCCAGCTGCCACTTTGCCACTTGCGTGGCCAATTGACATTTATGGGCATGTGCGGGCATGCAAGGCCGTCGATAACACGCCTCACTAAGCGCTCTCAGAGAAAGCTGAGCTCGAGTTCAATATGAAAGCCCGCTGCCGATGCGATTCACTGTGCTCAAGAGTCAAGTTCGTATAGGTACGATTATTTATTCATAACTGAAGTGCCGCTTAACCCGTCCCTCTCTCTCTCTCTCTCTCTCTCCCACTCGCTGCCTGGCTGTCTCCCTTGCTCGACTGGGCTGTCAAGCATGCATTTTTGCATTAAATTGTCCTTGTTGAAAGGAAATCGCACACACTTAATGCGCCAGCAGTAAAACCTATTTGCATGAGCAGACGTCGGCGCTGCAGCTGGTAGATTTTGAAAAGGATAAGCAACTCGCATCGCATTGTTGTCAGCAGCTGCTGAAATGCATTTCGCCTGACAGTTGATAAACGACACGAGTGTCTGAGTACGAGTACTGAGTACTGAGTTCTGAGTACTGAGTACTGAGTACTGAGTACTGAGTACCTAGTAGCCAGTGCCAAGTACTTTGGTTGGATTGGTTAGCTTTACACACACACACACACACATGCTAAAGTGGCAGAGCGAAAGAAATGTGAAAATCCTATAATAGATTTTCACATTCCTCAATCCGGGAATCCCCCAAGTGCTGCTGTGACTGATGATTGTCTGACGTTTGTCCCATTTCCCGTTGTATTTTGCAATTTTTGTTGTGCTTTCATTTCTATTTCTTTTTGACTGTTGTCTCTTTTTTATCGCGCACTTGTTGCGAGGCTTTCGCATAATTTATGATCTTTACTGTAATTGCCCTATTTTATGTCCGCACCCGGCAAAGATTTAACGACCCAGCAAACGCCTCAGCATCCTGCTCTAGTCGTAGGCCCTGTCGTCTTCTTATCATGTGGCACATTACGTGGATCGGGGCTCCTGCTGGCAGCATGGGACAGGCAGCGCTGTGGCACTTAAGCCCTTTAAAATTTATGTCAAATGCATTTGTAAAATATGCCAAACGTACGAGTGGCAAAACCGATTTCTGCGCCATTTAAACTAACATCGCGCACGGACACAGTGGTACGAGAATATGTGTAAAGTCAGTATTGTATATGCAATAATAAAACACGATTACTAAAAAAATTATTTAATATTTTTACATTATTAAAACAATTTTTTTTTTATTAATTATTTATAAATATCCTTAAAAAATAAATTAGTTACATTAAATTTAATATCTACTGTTCAGTTTATAAACATTTTTTTTTATGATATTATTTACAAATATATATTAATTTATTTTTTAAATTATTAAAAAATTGTATAATAATTTGTAAGATAAATAATTGTTAAATTAATAATAAATATATATAGCCGATTCCTCATTATATTATTGGAAGCCAATTATAAACTCCCATTTCCTTAACTGTTAATTTCCATTTTAATAAAGTCCAGGCCAATGTTCACTATATCGTCAGTTCGCCAATGTTGCTGCCAATGGAAAACGTTTTCCGCCTTCGAGTAAAAACAAAAGCACGATCTACAAAAAAACAAAAAAATGAAAATAAAAAGAAGAGGCAAAAATGATGGGGTGGGTAAAGAAAAAGCGCACAAGTACAAGAAAATCTTTGTGCATTTTCGTGCAGTTGGTTGTGGCAAATGTTCGTGCAAGGAAAATGTAATTTTTACTGCACGTTTGAGTTTGGGACCCATATACACATGTAAGCGTGCATGCATGCAGACGAGCCTCCTTCTCTCTCCCTCTGTGTGTGTGTGTGTGTGTGTGTGCATACATACATATGCATATAAGTCGCAAATGCAACAAAATGGCGACAGGCGGCCACGTTCCTTGTCTCTTCAGTGTGTGTTGTCTTTATCAGCATCGTTCTCATCGTCGTGAGTTTTTGCTTGGCTTTTATAGAAAATACATTTTCACATTTTTGCCTGTAAGCAGCCAGCCAGCCAGCCAGCCAGCATGCCCTGTGACACAATTCAAAATAAGGTATACAAGCCACAGGAGAGACTAAAACTAGTCAACCAAAACAAAAACACAACACAAAACTCTATTTATATATAAAAACATAAATACATATACAAACAAATATATATATATATATATATATATATATATATATATATATATATAATTTTAATTTATTTAATATTAATAAAAGGACACAAAGTCATCCATCATGGCAGGCAACGCTGATTTTCGCCTGCTGCAATTTGAAAACTACGAAAGCTATCTGACTTCCTTCATTCGAACTGAAGACTATCGATACCTATCGAGCATGGACCCCGTTAGAAGGCTGGTGCGGCTCGGCTATCGCAGCACGGCCCGGGTCTACGAGGAAGCTGAATTTAATAAGATTCGAGCCAAGATGATGGAATTCATGAATCCGAAGGTCCTATCGAGCGTGCACTACAGCGACTACTTCAAAGGCACAGATGCAGCGCTAGCAGCATTAATGCGCCGCGAGGAGCCCAATCTGTTGCGCCAACTATCGGTAAGCCCATACATATATATATGTATATATTGTATACTTGTCTATCGCTCGACTCGCCTTGGGCCAGACTATCATCTTTCTGCAGGTGCGTCAGCGCAGTGGCTTCGATATATCGGGCTACATTGACTATCAGAAAAGTCTGCACGACTGTACCTTTCGAAAGCCCGATCATACCAATTGGCGAGCCGTGTTCGAGGGCCGTGAGCTACTGAAGCCGAAGCCAACCGATCTGAGCTACTACGACTGGCACAAGGGCATCGTTAACATAACCAACTCCGACAATTTTGAATCAATCAAAGGCAGAGATTCGTTAATATTCAAGCATAAAGGCGACCACAAGCTAATACCGGTCTGTGCGAAGCCCGCTCAATATGGTGAGAACGTACATCGCGTCATGATACTCTCGGAATTATATGGTTTTATAATTTTATACGATCATGTTATACGTTAAAATTCCTACTAAAATAATTAGAAAAATAATATATTAATAATAAACAAACATTAATACTTTTATGAATTAGCCTGTGCTGAACAATTGATTTTGTATGTATCTAAGCCAACGATTTTTATTATTTTATTTATTATTATATAATGCTTTTACAGAGCATCCAGCAGACGTTCAACGCTAAATGAAGCATTTCTTTTTTGTTTTCATCCTTTATCTTATGCAAATAATGCATGCTGCATGCTCAAAAAACGAAAAATGGAAAAAATATTCTTACCCCTAGCTCATGGCTGCCTGGATAGGCAGGTGTGTGTAAACGAGTGTGCGTGTGTAACACACGTGATAGTGCTCGAAATTTGGTCACGAAATGGCAAAAATGTTTTTGGCATTAAAGTAGTGCCATGCAAGACAGCCAGACAGCCAGACAGCCGTCCTTTTGAGGCATAACCAAAAGTTTGCGACTTCAATTTGATTTTGTGCCAAATGGAATATCTAAAAAACAAAAAAAGAAAAGAATGTGAAAGCAAATACTCATATATATTTATATAAATCAATACGCAGCTCTGTGCAAATATGTTTGTGCGTGTATGCACAATATATATTGTGCAAATAAAATGGCACCAACAAGCACGCACCATATTGTATTTATGTAAATTTATTTCCGTTACATTTCCGCCATTCAATTGAAAATCGTCGTGTGATTTTCTTTCTTTACCCTTGCGCATATTTGTACACCCACACACAGACTGCCTCAACAAACAAAAAAGAGTCGGCCCAAAAATCACAGCCGGCTGTGAAACATTCGCGAAACAACAAAAAATAAGTAAGTGCCAGGGCTCTACCCGACTTGGAGATACCCTAAACACATACATGCACACTGAGGCAGTTGAAACACATTTCTGAAATGAGATTCAGATACTATGTATATACATTATAGGGTCTGCCACGCCTCCTTCTACCTGTTACAAAAACTTTAACAAAACCATGATACCTCGATTTCCCATTTTCAACGAGCTCAGGGTACACAAAAAAAAAATACAAAGAAGGCAGAGGAGAAACATATACGGGGAGAAAAGACTTGCGCAAAAAACTACAAATATGCAGCATTCATTTATAATATATTCGTTTGGCTCGTTGGGCCCGCTGCGAAGGCAATGCCGTGAGGCTCTTTGGTCTGCATGTAAATTGTGGCAAGTCCAGCCGCATGTGCCCCAATGTTGCCCAACTGTAACTGCGAATTATTGTTTCAATTTATGAAACTGCACTACAGATATCAACGAAAAATACTTTCACATTTCACGTATGCACACGTTAAAGTTTTTCCTTTCAAGCGAAAGGCAGACCAAAAATTATTTGATTAAATTTTATTTTGAAAATTTTACTTGAGAATTTCGTAGAATACCGAATATAGGCTTTCTTTTACTGACTTAATTTACTACTAAAGAAATTGAAACTCATTGACATTGTTTTACGTCTTTCAAAATAGAAATGAAATACAATTAAGTATTATAATTTAACATTATCATTAACTCACATATTTGTGCAAATAATTTGCTATAAAAATTAAATGAATTGTGTTTTATCAACTTACGATAAATTTACACATACTGATGAACACACTTTAACCTGCCAACAAAATAAATTACATATACATTATATTAATTAGGCTGAAAATTTTTTTTTTAATAATAAAAAAATTAAAAATTTGTTTATTCCAGAATATTTTGTTTCTCAAAAAAAAAAAAATTAAATAAATAAATAAATAAAATAAAATAAAATAAAAATAAATAATTAAATTTATATATATATCTTGAAACACAATGTATAAACAGTTTTTTATCCTTTGAATATTTTGCTCTAAATAGCAAAATAGTTATGTAAAATTGCATTAAAATCAAATTTTAATTTGTATTGATTTTCATTTAAGTCTTACATAAATAAATCTTTCATATTTCAAAACAAATTACAATTTAAAATCAAAGTTTTCAAGACAATTATATTACAATTAATATATACCAGTAGAAATCCATTTATATCTTGACTTCAATATAATTCATAAATTTTCACTACAAAAACTGTTTCCAGGCCCAGCAAGAATTTGGCTTTATAATTTTTATTGCACCACTTCACCTGCCTACGATGCAGAAACCAAAAATTCTTTACACAACTCAAAGTTTGTTGTTTAGCAGCCGAAGTAAATAATTGACACAGCTGACAGGAGGGAGTATGTAAAATACTTTCCATTACACCAGATACTATTAAATTGGTACATTAGTAAATTCTGTATAAATATGAAAATTGGGCCACTATTGAGGGCTGTGTGGAAGTAAAATGAAATTTCTATTGAATTCGTGTACAGCTTTCTTTGGTTATATGAAAAGGGGCGGGACAAAGGCAGAGGCAGAGGCAGAAGCAGAGGAAGAGAGAGGTAGAGGCAGAGCGATGTGTTTGCAGAGTCTATCTAAACGTATTCAATTCATTTGCCTATTGTCATATCTGAATTGTTTAGCTCGAGCTGCTTTGTTGTTGCTCAAAAAGGCAAACATTGAAGAGAGCTTATTGTTTCTCAAACAAATGCATACAGAGGCACTCACACACACATGCACAGACACACACATACACTCGTTTCTTGTCTATTCATCAGAGCAAAATGAGCGATAAGAGCATACGTGCAGCTGATGGATAGGAAATTACAAAATTTCTCGAATGCACATTGTGCGCTTAATTAAGCGCCCTTGTCCCAGGCGCAGACTGTGTTACTGCTACAAGCGAGTCACGAGTCACGAGTCACGAGTAACGAATAGCGAATTCTCATTAATATTGTGATTATTTTTGGCAGCAACACTGGCAAGCCGTCACTTCGACTCGACGAGGGCAATAACAATAGCAAATGCTCATCAATGCGGTTGGCTGCCCATCCAAAATGTGCACATGGCGGCATCGTTTCTGTTGTGATGTCTCCCAGCTGCATAGCTGAATGCCTGCCTGCCTGCCTGCCTGCCTGCCTCAACACATGGATTTAATTTCCTGCCCCACCCACCAGAACACCCACAAACTATTTGAGGTTTAATGCGTATGCGGGCCCGATAAACTCATTTCTCTCATTTCGCCATTTATGGTTAGGTGACGCTCGGCGTTACACTACAAAAACTTTTGTGTTGATAAACTTAGCAAGGATTCTGTGCGTTGCACCAAGTGTTGCCCAACAAACCAAAGAGTGCTGCAGCTTGACGGCGGCCACAGAAAGTTGCGGCCCAACTGCGTTTACACACTGGCTAAGAAGTTTTGCTCGAGTGTAGCCGGCATAAGTTGAGGCAACGCTGACACGACAGGCGGGCAGTGGGGCAGGCATTCAGAGTATAAGAGATTTTCATCCTGCAGACCAGAAACATTGGCACATTCATCATTTTTGTAGCCCAGCAGCAACAGCAACAGCAGCAGCAGCTGCTCTTGCAGGCAGCCGCGGCAAGTTCTTGTCACATGTCACGTCGCCCGGCTCAGTTGTTGGCCAGGCCAAGAGCACAGCCAGAGCAGGTTCCTACTTCAGCTGTAGCTGACGAGTAGCAGGCCTCTGGCATTTACGCCACTGGCATTTTTCGCCTGCTGTTGCACAACTTCGCTCCGAAATCCAAAGAATTCTCGCCATGCACTGTATTAAACTGACGCTTTAAACTTCCGCCCATTTCGGCGCTTCAATGTAGCTCACTGTAAACTTGTTCAATAAAAACAAAAGTTAAAGTAGTTCATAAATGCTTGGAAGACAATTGTAAAGAGTTAAACACAATAAATATATTTGATGAAAAATGAATTGGTTTGGAACTATGGCACGATTAAAAACTAAATAATGACATACAAATATATAGCCTATCATAAATGTGAATAGATTAATATAGATATATATTCATACAATTATGAGAATCTGAGAATAAAAATAATAAGTAAATAATATGCATTTATAAATAATAAATAAAAAAATGAAATTTCAACTTTTATTTTTCATATAATAATTTTATTTATTTTTTTTTTTTTTTTTTTTTAAGTGTCTTATAAATATTTTTATATTCTATAATTATCTTCCTAGAATCTTCTTTGAATGATTCAAGTTCTATAAATTCTACACGATTTTTCTGTTTGAAAATCTTCAAGAAATATATTGAATATATCAATATACTCTATTTAATTTTGTCTTTAAAGACTCTATATATGAAACAGTAAATAGAAATTGTAATAAATAATATAAATGTAATCAAATAACAAAAATTGACTTCGACTTCTGATTGATTGAAGCTTTCTCCCATAATATTATTTGATATTGCATATATATCGTCTGAGATTTTTTCTTTAAAATTATTTAGGAATATTAGGAAATGCTTTTTAAAAGTTTTTATAGGCTAAGATAGCTCATTTGAAAAACTCTGTATTAAATGCAATTCAAGAGAGAAATATTCCCGATATATTAAGAGAAAAGGGATTACTGTTATCTAAGCCGTTTCTCCTTCATATATTAAATCATAGAAAATATTTCGATTTTTGTTAAAATGTGAAAATATATTTTTGATTTTGTATTATTTTTGAAAGGGAAATTAAATAAGTATAACATAAAAGTCAGTTCGGTGCTTCAACATGCGTGTGTGTTCGTGTGTGTGTGTGTGTGTATTGTATTGGCCTAAGTACATCGGTGTTTTCGTGTCTGATTGAGTGTGGAATTGGCTGGTTAACCCCTCAGTGGCCTGCCATTGCGTCTTCTGACGGTGCGACGGACTCCAGCGCGATTTCTGCGGCCTGCACGACGACGACGACCGCCACGACGACGACGGTTGTTCCTGTTCTGACGCTTGCCACCTCGCCTGCGGATTACACGCCTGGCACGGCCATCCTCGTTGCTGGGCCGCGCAACAGTTTGCTTTGGCTTAGTATCGACGGCGGTGTTGCGATGCTCGTTGGACTGCACCACGATTGGGCCCGTCTTTTCAGGATCCTCCTCCTGGTCGGCCTCCTCTTCGATTTGTTGCTCGTCCTCTTCTTGGTTGTCCACATCGGTGGACTTGATCTCATCCTCCTGTACGATGGGCGTGCGCGTCAGCCCGTTGCGTCGCTGAGCAGCAGCCTCAGTTGTTGCTGCCAGGCAGCAGAGGGCTGCCAGGGCAAAGATCAGTGCGAACTTGTTTGACATGCTTGTGCTAGAACACCGGAAATGTTTGTGATGCATCTGTTGCAGCATCAGCTCGGTTTTATAGTGCGTTTCATGTTTGCGCTAACCCATCTGCCGCCAAACTGTACAAATGTTTGTCCACCGTGCCAGTGGAGTTCTGCCAGCTGTATTTGTTGCGGGTCGACAGAAAAATGAAACGAAGCTAGTTGGCCATTAATGTGATCTTTTGTTTATTGTTTGCCTCCTCCACAGCTGCCAGATACTTATGTTCTTGGCTTTGCGCTGCATTGCCTCACTCCTTGGCTCAAAGCATGCCACGCCATGCTACTAGATAATTGGTTTCCCTCGCCACCAGCTCCATTGCAATCCAAACACGCTAACTCCCTTGGCCAGATGGAAATACCATTCAAAATAAAAGTTGGAAAAAAAATGTAACGTAAATAATCGAATTGTGCACAAAAGCGTTTTTAGTTGCACATTTCCCTTCGTTATATATTTATTTATTTTATTTTCCAATTTCATTATTTCAATCAGACTCCAGCTCCTCTTTAATCGGTTTACATTCCTTGGGCATACATAAGGTTTCGTGTCCTGTTTGTCCTTTGGCAGCTGCAAACTTAGTGGGATTCTATGATGGTATTCGAACAAAGTAGAGTTCTTTTATGAAATCTTTGAAAGATGGAGAAATAGTTGCAGAGTTAGTGGTATTGATAGGCAATATATTAATTCAATTAATTTATATCAATATTTTTAATTCGTTTAGATATTATTATATGTAGTTTATACAAAAGACTACTACTGAAAAAGTAATTATAATAATATAAATAATAATAATAAATAATTTTTATCATTTTTTTTTTTTAATTTATTTTTTTTATGCATATAACAAATACTTATGGAATGTAATTTTGAACACTCTGAACATAGATATTTCTGAGTAGTCTAAAAACTCTTTCTCCATCCTCCTCCTTTGTCGGAAGCGTGCGTAAATTTACTTAATTTCGATTTAAAATAAAATTTAAAATTAGTTTAGACTTCGAAAAACTATTCTACTATCCATTTCATAGCTCAGGATTATTATTTACTAATATTTTGTACATCTGGAAGCTATCTGAAATTGGTCTTCAGCTAACAAAAGGAAAGTAATTTATGTAGCATGAAAATCGTTTTTCTTTTTTGTTGTTTTTCTTTCTTTTTTTTCTATTATCCGTTTTGCTGGCGATGCTTTGTGTGCGTTATACAGATCAGAGTCAGCGTCTATTGAAAATTGCAGAGTAAACAGCTTGCAGCGATTTACAAATAATGAATTACAAATTGGTGGCAGGAGCAGCAGGATATGCTGGATATGCATCGGCGGACCAGTTCACAGCAAAATGTTGAAAATGCACTTGAAAAACTGAAATTTGTATTTTTTGTTTGTTTTTGTTTTGTTTTGTATTTTTGGCTCGTTGCCAGCAATCAACCATATTTATTGCGCTTAAGCGCGTTGCCAATAATTTCTGCTTTGGCAGCTGTGAGGCGGGACAGGGGTGGGGCATTTAGAGCCCGTTGTGGCACGTGCAGCAGGCGGAAATCACGTGGCTGGCATTTGTTGAAATGATTTAGGGCAGTTTATTATTTAGCCAAAGCAGCTGCCCGATATGTATGTAGTTTTTCTTCATCTTTTCCTTTTCCATTTTAAGTCAGCTGTAGGAGCTTTCCATTTTTTTATTAACTCCGGCTGGCAGCTGTCCTTTATAGCTGTCTACTTTGTCAAAGAACTCTGTGTGCGAGTGTTATGTGCTAGCATTGTTATTTTTCACTCGGTTCGATCCCCTGAGTGTAAAAACTAATTAAAAAAGCGTTTAATTAAATTTATCGACAACTAAAGAAGCTCACATGTGGCTTTCATTCAGAGCACGAAACACAAAAGGTGGTAAAAATTTATTAAAATAAAACCGTAAATATACTGCATTTTATATATTAGTATATTATATATATCTTGAGTATTTCATATATGTCTTCTATATTTCTTTCAAATGAGGGCAGAGCTTGGATCAGTTTGAAATAAATTCAATTATGGAACAATTACTCCTTCAATTTCTTCTATTGATAATGGAGCATTACCTCTAGGTGTTTGCAATTTTCAAGTGAAGTATATGCTAGTAAATTGTCTAATGAATTTTTCAGAATTTTCCAGTATTTGTTTTAGCTATTCAACATATAAAACTTATTAATTTACTTTTTCTTTTGTTTGTTTTTCTTTTTTACTGTATCAAAAGTAGACTTCTATTCAAATCGAAGCTAGCTCTGATTCGAAGCGTCAGATTGATATCTGACACAAGCAACACTACACTACACTTCCTCACTACATTCACATATATATTTTCAATATATATTAACGTATATAATATATATACATATACTTACATATATAATTCGTGATATTTAAAATACAACAATAATTCGTTAAGATGTCCATTGAGAACGAGCCGAGGACCGAGAATAGTGATGAGCCGTCAGAGACAATCCCGACCATTCCCACACTTTCTCCATCCGAAATCCCACAAAGAAACATAACCATATCATACTACTGCGATACGGATGATGAGATGTTAAATGTGCCCGATCCGAGCGGCTCCATCGAGGGCGATCCGATCGAGATAGAAGCATTTCGCTGCATTGTATGCAAGACGCTACCCTATACAACGCTCTATCAATGCCAATACCAGCACATCATCTGCGCGGGATGCTATCAGATGCGCGTGCTAGACAAGATGCTGGGCGCGCAGCTGGGCACCTGCCCGCAGTGCAATGTGCGCATCTATCGGCATGAGCCCTTTCGCAACCTGCGGGGCGAGCGTCGACTGGCTGAGGTGCTGGTGGCCTGCGAGGCTTGTGGATTCATTTTGCAGCGCTCTTTTCTGCGCATCCACTGCCAGACGGATTGTCCTCTGCGGCTGGTGGCGTGCAAGTACCGGCGCATCGGCTGCAAATGGAAGGGCGTGCTGGGCGAGGCAGCTGCCGAGCATGAGCAGGAGTGCGAGTATCGGAGCAAGCGGGGAGTGCAGCTGCTGGAGGAGCTGCAGCAGCTGCAAGCGGAGCGCGACTCCAAACAGTGTTTGTTGAGCAAGATAATGAAGCTGCTGCAATTGCCGCATATCACGGTGCGGCTGCTCCAGCTGCTGCCACAGGGTGAGGGCTTTCCGCGCAACGATTTCAAGACATTCAGCTTCTTTGAGGCCTTCAGCCAGAGCTGGTCCATCCAGCTCAACTGGCAGACGCCCGATGACGTCGAGGAGCCGGCCGATCAGCAGAACTGCACATGCGGTCTGCTCTTTCAGCTCTGCCTCGAATCACCGGACACCTGTCGCGGCGCCCTGGGCCTCACCTACACCCTGGCCAGTGGCACCTACTCGGAGGTGCGCTTCCAGCCGAATCTGTGCGAAAAGTGTGACTTTACGCGGGATAATATCTGCGGCCCCTTGACTCTGATCTATAAAAATTCTTGGCTGAATTGCGCAAAGCTGCTGAACGATCGTGGCTTCTATGCTCGTCTGCTAATGGCTCGTATATAGTTGCTATTTTATATATACACGTATAGGTTTATATGTATACACGACAGCACATTTAATTTACTATAACACTGCCTTCATTTGTATGTGTGCGTATCCTTATGAGAGTAAACTGGGTTTAAGCTCCAAATATTGATTTGTAATGATTTTTTAATTAAGTAAATTTTTATCTAACGATCAATTTATATATATATATATATATATGAATATGACCAGCTTCGTATTTAAGTCGAAAAGTTTCGAAATGTCATAAATAACTGCTTTAGCATTTAAATTCTGGGTCTGTCTCTACTTGTAATTATTATATCTTAATCCGATTAAAGAAAATAATTTGTTTATAATGTGTATCGAATCACAGTCGCTATTTATTTTATTCAAATATATCAAGCAGCTAGCTGGCTATTTAGGTCGCCTTTCTAACGATATGATCGTATAATACTACCATTCCATACAATGGCGACAATATCGCTGTGCGCTTCACATTTTCTTTGAAGGGGCCGTCTGTAACACTGACTGGAATGAATTTGAGGTCGCCCTTGTATTTGAATAGCAACGAAATGCCCATGTGCATGACGTCATAGTTGCTGGTATTATTGAAGTAAACGCTGCCGCTGTGCCAGTCGTAGAAGCTCAAGTCGGTGTGTTTTGGCCGCAATAGAATGCGTCCCTCGAATATGGCCTGCCAGTTGGTGCAGCCTATCATTTGAAGGCTGTTTAACCGCAAGCTGTCCTCATAGTCTATGTAGCCCGATATATCTAAGCCGGTACGCTGTCGCAGCTGTAAAAATATTATTGTCTGACAAAATATTCAGATTAGCAATATATTATTAACATTCTTATTAGAAATATATCTCTTATCTTTATCCTTTTATTTACCGATAATTTCTTCTGCATATTGCTCGCCTCTCGCTCAGCCAGAGCACATAATGCCGGATCACTACTTGTCCTATAAGAGGAAAACAAAACGAAGTGATGCGAAACGGGATTGATTTGATCAAGTAGATTTTTCTTGATCTCATAAAATTCATCCTCTTCGTATATGGTGGCATTTGTGTGATAGCCGAGCTTAATCACCTGCTTTATAATTTTGGCGCTTCTCAAATACTTCTTTGCGTCACTGTTCGTACTTGAATTCAGGTATTCGTCATACGTATTGAAATTCAATAGTCTATAATCGGCGGTGTATGGCATTTTTTTTTCTTTTTTTTTTTTCTTTTATTCTTTTTTTTTTAAATTATTTTAGATATCCATTTATTTATGTTTTTTTATTTATATTTTTTTTATCTTATTTATTTATTTTTATTTTTTTTATTTATATTTTTGTGTGTATTTTGTTGTGTCTGTGTGTTTGTGTCTGTTCAGTAGTTAGTGTGTAACTGAAATGAATTCATTTTAATTCTCTTAAGTTAAATCTAGCCTACTATATATTATTATATTATTATTATTATTATATTATTTTTATATCCTCATTGTAATGAATATTTTTTTGTATTATTAAATTATGAACGGTAATTTAATTATTTTATTTGATTGTGAAATAAGTTAACGGTTATCTAAGTATTCCCCTAATCGAAATGATTAACTATTTCTTATAAGTATTACTTCTAAGTATTCCCTTTAAGTCTTCAATGCTTATTTCCTTTAATGCGTCATTCCACTTTGCGCCGCACTGACCCCCACCAGGTATGGGCGACTGAAGATCTGGTGCACCTGCTGCCCTTCATATAGGCCGACTTTTACTCCAACACGAAGTCGCTCTAAGCTAAGCCCGGTGTCAGCTAGGGGTCGCTGCAGTCGAGCTTCAAGTGACCCATGTTAACATTTCCTGCTGGTGCGAGCATTGTAGCTTCGTTTTTCTTATATATATAGTATAAATAGAATACCAAAGGAATATTGTTTCATATATTTAGATAATTTAAGTGATATTCTGTTGCAGACACATAGAGAGGCAGACAGAGAGACAAATATACAGTTAGGTATACGAACAGATATATAAGCAAACAAATATTTTATATAATTTTATTAAAATTTATTATAATCTAAAATGTTGTATTATTATATTATATATTATTTAAGCTCGCTAGTGTTGATAACATTTTGACGATGTAATTGCTTACATTATACAGCTCATAATTTGAAATCATAAAATGTTGCACACATTTGCTGCATTTCCTTGAAGTTGAGATTCAAAATCCTTGTTCTCAACCCAATCCAAGCAATGAAAATATGAATCCTGCGGCAATGACTTACGACATCGAAAGCGTTTTCATTTCTTGAACAGTTTTTACGTTGCCTTTCGAACAACATGATCGTAGAGTATGACACAACCGTATATTGGCGATATATAGAGTGAGCGTTTCACATTGTCCTTGTACATGTTGTCTACCACGGTAACGGGGACAAACCTATGATCGCCCTTGTGCTTGAACATCAGCGAGGTGCCGTAATGGACGATGTCATAGTTGCCACTATGATTGATACTAATTTTACCGCTATGCCAGTCATAGAAGCTTAAATGATCTTGATTCGGTCGCAGCAAAATCCGACCCTCAAATATGCCCTTCCAATCGAGCGCGCCAAGCTTATGCTGAGCACAAGCGCTCAGGCTATCTTCATAGTCTATATAGCCTGATATATCGAAACCGCTGCGCTGTCGCAATTGCAGTAATATAATAGTCTGCCATGAAGATATGAATTATTGTTAACTTAATTAACATTTATTAATTTAACAAAAATCCAAAAAAGCTTACCGATAACTTCTTCTGCATATTGGGCTCCTCGCGTGTCGCCAACGCAACTAATGCTGGATCCGTGCTCTTCAGGTGACTACTGAACAAAGTTGTTGTTGCCTTCTTTGGATTGAGCAGAAGGAGTAGATTCTTTTGTAGCTCGTAGAATTCAGCCTCCTCATATATGGTCGTATTTGTGCGATAGCCGAGCTTAATTAGCGAATTTATCATCCTCTTACTGCTCAAGTATCGATATTCATCCATCCTGGTAAATGATCTTAGATACTCTTCGTAGGTGTTGAATTTCAATACATTAAAATCGCCGCGCATCGCCATTGTTTCTATATATATATATTCTTGTATCTGTATGTATCGATAAGTATCTATGTATATGTATCTGTAGGTATCGATATGTATCTATGTATATGTATCTAACTATATCTTCTTGTATCTGTATGTATCGATGAGTATCTATGTATATGTATATGTATGTATCTATATGTATCTATGTGCATGATATCGTTTCTTTTTGTTTTTGTATCGTGTTTTGATTTGTTTTTAGTTTTTGTTTGTTTTTATGTATTTATGTATGTTGTTTTATGTATCAGAGTTTCGAGTGTTCAATAGTTTCTGAGCTAAGCTGAGCCTACTTGAGTTCAATATATTAATTTTCAAAATTATAATCTTTTCGAAGCTCAAAAATTTTTTGAATTGCAAATATATATTAAATATAATTAATATTATATAATTTTCTTACAGTCATTATCGAGTTAATTTTAGCGCTATATTCGTATATAAATTGAGTAATTAATTAATTGTAAGTATTTAATTGAATATATCAATAAACGTATTTACATTAACAAATAGAATTGAAGATATTTAATTTCACAATTCCACTCAAACTTTCATTTAATGCAAAATAATTATTATAAAACATTACATAATATAATTATAAATAAAAAATAAAAAAAATTAGTAATATTTCTTATGTATATACCTATACTTTTAAATGTAATTTTGTATATGTATATATTCAATTTTTTTTTATTTATGTTTATTTTTTAGTCAATATTTATTTCTTAATTAATATTCAGTACGAATAGATTCAAAAATATATTTATTAGCATTACCTGAATAATGCTGACACCAATTTAAAGCGTAGCATATATGTACCACGCACACACACAGATACTCAGTCACACATCATATGGCGAGAGCACAGTGCCTGCCTCTAAGTAAGTCAACACTCGGTACAAATGATGCTCGCATTTGCCTGGCAGCATAAATTACGCGCATAAAATGAACATTAGATTCATATTTTAATGCGCACACAACCACACACACACACGCATGCAAACCTTAGACTCATATGCCATAAACAAAAGCAGGTTAACTGTAGCCCAACTCCAGGCAATGCGATAGCTACAAAAACAAAAAACAAAAAAAGTAAGAAGGTTGCCAAATAACCTGAAGCTATTACAAACACACACAGCCACCCGCACACACACACACACTCACCCATACACGTCTGGGTTATTTCCATTACAAATGAGCTTATTATGCGCCCGAGTCAGAAAGTCATTGCGACTTAAAAGGATTTGCATGTGATTAGCAGCACGAAATGTAAACAAAATTCTTACACCAAAAGACAAAAACCAACAAAAAGTAAGGGATTTTTTAATTTTGTAATTAAGCGCCAATCTAATGCTCTTACTTAAGAGATATTTTTGAATTCAAGATAAAATTTTTTAAAATAAATTTTCTAAGAAAGAAGAAGAACAAAATAATTTGATTTCAATATGTTTTATTGTATTATAGAAAATGAATTTCATTTATATTAAATTTGTGAATTTTTATTCCTATTTAGAAATTCATCTTGAAATTTTAATTTTTCTAACATTTATTTGCTAATATATTTATTAATTAAGTTATGTAAAAATTTAGAATTAAATTTAAAAAAAATTTAATTTTAAAAATTGTGTTTGCAGCTTTAAGTTAATAAAAAAAGATATTAAAAAAAAAAAAAATATATATATATATATACATATTTTTTTTTTTTTAATATCTTTTTTTATATATATATATATTATATATAATAAATATAAAATATATATTTTTTACATTTTGTTTTCTTATAACTTACAATTATGAATTTTAATTTCTTATTATTTACGATTTTTTTTTTTTCAAAATGTTACATAATCTTTGATATTGTTGAGATAACCTCTCATAGTTAGTCCCCATCAAATGACGATTTGTACGCACTCGAGAAGT